AAGAACTTGTGCATTAATGCCATTTTGATAGCGACTCTTCTTGGCTCCAGCAAATTTGCCATTGTATAGTGAAAGTGTTGTAACTTGGTTTTGAGAGAAATAGGCCAATCTCCTAATAAGGATCCATGCTTTGTGGGAAATTTCTGTACACATTCATACGTATGCATTATTGTAAGCAGCCTTGAACCATGAGGAAGGGTGGGACATATTTGCTTTAGTAAATAAATAAAATGTACAAATGTCTACCCCAACCACTATGTCACAAAATTGACCAATTGAGTCACTTTACAAAAAGTAATAATGAAAACTTTCACTGTATGTAGTGTGTTTTAGTAGTTCTCTTACCTTAATAAGGTGTTCTTTAAACCTATCAGAGTTATACAGCTACTAAGATTTTCTCTAAATATAGTCCAATTTAGTATTTCAAAAGGGACTTAGAAGTTGTAGATCCTGAGCAGAAGACAATGGGTTTGGGTTAAAGTTACTGCATAGGAGCTCAGAGGTTAAAGACGCTGAGACCCTAGTGCCGCATGACGGAGTGAGCTCCCGTCTCTGGCCCCCAGCTCCTGCCAACCTAGCAGTTCAAAAACAAAAAATTGCAAATACATAAATAGGTACCACTTTGGTGGAAAGGTAACAGCATTCCATGTAGGAGTGTTTGATTTCTCTTCCAGTTTATTTGTTAAAATAAAGCTGCATTAAAAGCAGCCTAGTTACCTAGGATGAACAGCAGTTGCCCCAGTGGAGAGCTGATTAGCAAATGTTCTTGTACTGGTTCCCCTAACTTGTCACCACTGCTTTACTTATGTCATGGCCGCAAATGGGCAGCTACCACTACTGCACTGTTTCCATCTAAGCAAAATACAAGCACAGTACTATAGTTGCTGTTACCTCCCCCAGTTGGTGTGTAGTGTTGTACACCAAGGCTTTCTGTACATTGTGACAGCAGCATCTGTGCATATGTACTTTGTGCGTGTGTGTGTGAGGAAAGAAGTGCAGACTAGCAGAAGCGATAAAGTCTGTCTAAGCTTTCCCACTATTTCCATATAGCACCTCTGTATGTCCTGTCTTTCTTAAGGGAGTGGGTGAAGAGCACCCTCATCTTGCAGTCGTACTAGAAAGATGGGGTAGACAGATACTGATTTATATCATTTAATTACAGCATCTTTTTTAAAAAATCTGGCTATTGAAAACGGAGCTTTTTTTCTCTTCACAAGAATGGCTGTACTTTGACAAGACCCAAAATAAAATGTATGTTTCTTACTTTTGTACCATCCAAGCATTAGAGTTCTTTTATGAAGATTTATTTTGTCCATTTCTCAGTAGCTTTGCTGTACAATTAATACTTAGCAGTGTAATTCTAAAGCAGAGTATTGTAGGGGCGGTTTTGGGAACTACTGTAAACATTTTTAAACAGCCCTTCCTCTTTCATTAAACAAAATAATTAAAACTCTTTAATGCATTTTGCTTTAAAGTGTTTTATGACTTGGCGTATTACCTCTCAGAAATGAGGCTGTTTCCTCTCTCATGGGTAATAGCATTAAGATGTGGTTGGAGTAAGTGTGTGGAGTATCATAAAATGATTTCAAGCCCTGGCTGACAAAATGACCTGTAGACCAAGAAAATGAGAATTTGGTGTTCTTTTGCAGAAACTGTCCTAAGACTATCGAATGTTGAGCCATGGAAGAATGTAGGCGTTCAGATTAACACCAGAACTGTGGCATATGCCTATTTTATCCGTAGTTTCTCCTTCTTACGTGATAGAGTAAAAAAATGTAGAGTTCACAGGTGGTTTGGAGTGCAATCCCAAGCAGAGTTGTGCCTTTAGGGTGTAACTCTCCTTAGAACTGCATTGTTTGTCTCCCATCCCCGTTCTGATCTGATCCTGAGCTTTCGCCGGACCACACCCTGGCACTGAAGACACATAAATATATTATAGGAGCAGGGTACATGTAACAAAGGAATAAACTCTTCTAGATGAAAGCTGATTATGCTCCGTCTTCATCTTCTAGACCCATCTGAGTTCCTAGAGAAAGTGGAGTCAGGAACTCATTTAAGATCCAGGGGAACAGAGGGGTTGTTAGTTATCATTGCATTTAGAATTTGTATTAATGTTTTAAAAAACCCAATGGACTGTCAGAATATATAGGGGTCATTTCCTGCAGGAGCGCACAGGAGCAGAGCTCCGGCAGTAAAGAGCCCAGGGGGCGGGCACATGCAACAAGGCCCACCCCCTGCTCCCAGCAGCCCTCAGTCAGAGCAAGAAGCAGCCAAGTAAGCTGCAGAGCCCCCCCCCCGCCCCCCCAGTCCAAAACAGTCCAGTGGCACCTTTAAGACCAAGTTTCGTTCAGGTACAAGCTCTCCCTCCTCCGCGAGGACAGATCTGCACGTCCCCCCCCCCAATAGCTAGCAAACCAAAACAGTCCAGTGGAGTCTGAGCAGTGGGTGTTGCCTTCTGACACACTTCCGGTGATGTCAGGGGGTGTGGCATATGCAAATAAGTTATGCTAATGAGTTATGCTAATGAGCAATGTTCCCTCTAAGCTGAGTTAGTGTGAGCTAGCTCACATTTTTTTAACCTCCGGCTCACAGATTTTGGTCTTAGCTCAGGAAGGATGGTTCCAAAGCAAACTGATTTATGCAGCAGACAAATCGTTCGCTCACAACTTTAATGCTGGTAGCTCACAAAGCAGAATTTTTGCTCACAAGACTCCACAGCTTAGAGGGAACATTGCTAATGAGATCCTGCACACAATTATTGTTGGTGTACTGTTTCAGTAGTTTACAGTCCTGATAATGGAGAATAATACCTTTTGTGTATTGCTGTTTACAGAAAATGAAGTTCCTTTGCAGGAACGGAGAAATTACAAATCAAGAAATTATTCTTGGGATGCTTTTGCTCTTAAGCTTTCTCCCCATTAGTAGATACACCATCAAGTCAGATCAGGAGTAGTTACTGTCTTCTGATCATAGCATACATTGTTCTCCGTTTTGCCGTTTTCCTGATATAGCTGCTCCAGTTTTTTTCTTATGCAATGTGTTAACGGCTCTCTTGTAACATCTTGCTAAGGAAAGAGAAAATCACACATCAGCTGTGTGAGAGAAGTGTAAAGTGCCTGAAAGGAGAAAAAAATGCAAAATTCAGCCATTTGTAGTAAAAAAAGAGAAAAGCACTCTCTAGTTCTACAGTCAGTTCAACATAAACTTTTAATCTGGGGTACAGATAGAGGAGCAAATCTCCTCTGTGACGTGTAGTGCTTTTCACTAACTGTGGCCCTGCCTTAAGATGGAGGATTGGAGGACAGTTATCCCTATGCCGTGATTGCATTCAGCTGGGCTACGCATGGAACTATCTTCTAATACAGTACAGAAGTTTCAGCCAGTTCAAAATATGGCAGGTAGGCTGCTACCGTGTTTTCCCGAAAATAAGACGCTATCTTATATTTATTTTTTCTCAAGAAGACACACTAGGGCTTATACCACAAATGCATAGAAATCCTGCTAGGGCTTATTTTTTGGGTAGGTCTTATTTTCGGGGAAACAGGGTACAGATGTAATGCACAGTGAACACATCCCGCTAGTCTTAAAATATTTATACTGGCTGCTGATTTGCTTCCAAGATCAACTCAAACTGCTGGTGACCTGTAAGGCCCTATGTAATCTCTAAAGGATCGCCTTCTCCTATATGGATCTGTCTGCCAATAGAGGTCATCGACAGAGGCCACACCGCACACACCATAGAGATGGGTCTGCCTTGGCTGTGTGCCTGTGCTTTGGAACGCCTTTCTTGCAGTGCGGTGTAGGGTGTAGGATGTTGCTTCAGGACTGAGGAGTCAAGGCTACAGATTACTGCGGGTCGTGATGTTTACTGGGGGGCCTTGGACCGGTTTGTTCTCTGTCAACCTGACCTACCTCCCAAGTTTGTTATGAGGCTAGGATGAAGAAATAGAGGACCGTATGTGCCACCCCGTGTCCCTTGGAGGAAAGATGGGATAAAGGTATACTAAGTAATAAGCTTTTGTATGCAAGCACACTTCCTCAAATGCAGTGGAACAGAACCTCCTCAACCATTAACGTATTGGGGGGGGGGTTTTTGTCAGGAAGGGCCATTTAGAGTCAAGATGCATAAGTACTGGGTGGTTATAGCTGAGACTGGATGTAAGAAAACGTCTGTAAATTAGCATACAAATACAGGAGTTAAAAAAACAGATTTTGGGGTGAGGCTTGAGTCCAGTGGCACCTACAAGACAAATAAAGTTCAATTCTGGGTACTTGTATAAGTTACTTGTATAAGTTACAGATGCTGTTAAATGAGAAGCATTATCCTGCAATGGAGCACGCTGTCATTTGAGGTGGTCCTTTTTGTTCACACCCCCCTGTGACTCCTGTCCAATGTTCCCTCTAAGGTCCTGTAAGCAAAAATTCTACTTGGTGAGCGACTGGCATTAAAGTTGTGAGCAGGCGATTGGGCGACTGCATCAATTAGTTTGCTCGGGAGCCCTCCTTCCTGAGCTAAGACAAAAAAATGTGTGAGCCAAAGGCTAAAAAGCTGTGAGCTGGCTCACACTAGCTCAGCTTAGAGGGAACCCTGCTCCTGTTTCCTTGTTACTCTGCTTTCCCTTGACTTCCTTCTGGCCTGTTGGGAAACTCCCCTTACAGCTGTCCTCAGAACAGTTCTTGCAACTGTAGTCCTTTATAGCCCCTGCCTTATCTAATGTGGATCACTTTCGTTGCACTGTTCCCCATCAGAGTAGAATCCTTTCTGTGGGAAAAGGTGAGCAGGCATATAACAGAGAAGTAACGTGTGCTTTAAGGAAATTTAGGCTAGCTGGCTGTCAGGTTTTCAGTTCTTTACTTTTTGTAGCTAGTTTCCTCAGTGTGGGAACTGCTATAGCAGAAGTACCAAAGCTCAAGCTGCACAATGTGGCTCTCCACTCAAGGTGGGGGACCTTCTTTGGGTGATGACCTTACCTATTTAAAAAAAAACTTTCTTTTTGTAGATCGTGCCGGAAGCATTAGCACCCTTGACTCTTTAGACTTCGCAAGGTACTCAGATGATGGAAACAGGGAGACAGATGAACGGGTGGCTGGTAAGTAACGTTTCAGATAAGAGGAAAAACTGTCTCAGTTGAATATCATTATTTATTCCTCCACAATGCATCTTAGTCTTAATGCTTTAAAAACGTTTTGAGTGGCTATTCAAATCGGTGCTATTTCGTGATATCCTTCTGTAATGGAAAGCAACAAGTAAGGTTTTTAAAATCTCCCACTGAGACAATGAATCCATCATGGCTCTTCTTTCAGTGACAATTCTCAAAAGGAGAAACAGAAGATGTCCAACAGTTGGGTAGTACCACGCCTAGTTCTTGAAGGGGCCGAAGCGCATGTATTGCATCCCGACAGAATACACTTCCCCCCCTCTCACTTTTCGCTGCAGCCCGCTGCACTCCCTGAATTACAGCTACACTGGGAGTCAGTGGACCCCCAAGTACAGCATGGGATACAAGTGTGTGTGGGGGGGTGTTGGTGTAAATCTCATGTGAGTGGATGAAGGTTTAGGACCAATGCTCCCTCCAAGCTGTGGAGTCTTGTGAGCAAAAATTCTACTTTGTGAGCTACTGGCATTAAAGTTGTGAGCGAGCGATTTGGCTACTGCATCAATTAGTTTGCTCTGAAGCCCTCCTTCCTGAGCTAGGACAAAAATGTGTGAGCTTGGAGGCTAAAAAACTGTGAACTAGCTCACACTAACTCAACTTAGAGGGAACACTGCTTAGGATCCAGCCCTTTATAAACAAGAAAAATTAGAATGATATTACAGCGTGTTCTATGTTAAATAAATGGTTTCTTGGTTGATCCCGAAAAGCTTTTGAGCGATTAGGATAAATTCCACCCCTGGCATGAGGTATAACTTAATAGAATTTTGAATTAATCTTCTTGCAAGTCCAGAATTCAGTTTTGTGAAACTCTGAATTAGACATTCTTTTCAAGTGTGTTCGTGTCAAACCAATAATTGGTTCAGAAATCTGTAGACTGCCTAATGGGGTCGGCTCAGCAGTCCAGAGCGGAGCAGTGCCTCTGAAACAGCTGTTATCTGCTTTACCGTCAAGCTTTATGGCCTCCTGAGCTACACATTCAGGAAGGGTCATAAAGATGGATTAGATCTTATAAAAGGGTTTTGTTGCTCTAACAACTTCGATAAACACATTTTGTGCACGATTGTGGTCACGTTTTAGACTAATCTGGCCACTGATCAGTAGGAAAAAACCCTGTGTGTTGAGGCAGTCTGCACATGATAAGACGCCTGGGGATATTCATCCCAAACTTTTCCTGAGTATTTTGTTCTGGTTTTCAACCTGCTATTGCAAGCCTGAAACACTGATTTTTTCCCCCTTTTGCTAACATATGAGCAAAGTATTAGAAAAGTTCTGTGAGCTACAGTAACTTTGCATTTTGCATTATGGTTTTGGTCTGGAGTATAGTAGGACATCTTCTCTGATCATGTAATAGTCTGGAGGAGGAGGAGGAGGAGGAGGAGATTGGATTTATACCCCGCCCTTCACTCAGAGTCTCAGAGCAGCTTCCCCTCCCCACAGCAAACACCCTGTGAGGTAGGTGGGGCTGAGAGAGCTCTTTCCAGAACTGCCCTTTCAAGAACAGCTCTTGTCAGAACTATGACTTGCCCAAGGTCATCCAGCAGCTGCAGGTGGAGGAGTGGGGAATCAAACCCTGTTCTCCCAGATTAGAGTCCGCTCACTTAACCACTACACCAAACTGGTCATTCAGGTAAATGTCTCCTTTGGCTTTAAAACTTCAAAAATATTCTTAAAACCATGTATTTGATATCTCCTCCCCTCCATGACCAAATTCTGTGGTATTTAAAGTTTCACTGCCTTCATTCATAAATGTGAGATAGTTGAAGCGCTAAAATTTCTGGCAAGCTCCTTGACATTAGATTGTGAATGCTGGGAACTCAGACACAATCTATTTGACAACCTGAATTCCATAAAACAAATTATATGCATACTGCTTATTTGATTTCCGGAAGAAAATTGAAGAAGCATTTGAATAAATTTTAATTGGAAAAGAGCCAGAGGGTTTTAATATAAAACTGGCTTTCAAAAAGCCATTTAGCACACAGATTAAGATCTTCAGCAAAGGTTTTTTGTTGTTATTTATTCATATTTCTATGTTGAATTCAGTACCCTCTTGCCGCTTCTGTAACCAACACACTTCTGACCCGGCATTTCAAATGAAAATAGAAATCCCGTTCTTAAGCTGTATTCAGATGTCTCTAATGAGCTGCAGTTTGTTCATACCAGTCTTGAGCCACGTTTAGTCTCTGGCTCGTGTGCTTCCCCATAACATGTGCAGGACTGAGATGGAAGACTTTCCAGGCTTAGTGAATCTTTGACCTGACCAGTTTGGTAGGACATTCAGGTGTTTTAGCCCACCTGGCATTTGTTTCTGACCCATAAAATGCAGTTTTAAACTGAGACACGGATTTGTATTTGTTGGAGTACTGACTTTAGATGTTCCAACCAATACGTTTTCAGAGATTACCACAAAAGGACACCTGCTGCCAAGAAATTTAAGTGCTTCAAGTATGCCTTGCAATGGGAGTGTACCTTGTGCTGTAAATTTCAGAGGTGGTTGCTGTGTTAATGTCACACCTTGAACACTAACAAATATGTTGTTGTGAAAGCTTTTGTGAACTACACCCTACTTCAGATGCACGATGTGTTTTTGAGGCGTGACAAAACTTTGTGTTTTTTTTTACTTCTGAAGTCAGGCTGCTGGCCAAACCCATAAGACCAGTTATAGAGCCTCAGTCTTCATTCAAAGCGCCGTTTACTTTCGCTGCAGCTTGTTTTTTTACCTGAAAGAAATTAAAACGGCTCCTACTTTGTAAATAAAAACATTCACTCTGTTTTTCTTCAGAGCTTATGTTTTTACTACAACCATGGGTCAACTGTGATAATTTTGAGCCCACTAGATGCTTGGGAGATGCTAGAATGTCAAAAGAGAAACCATGCAGCAGAGTAAACTGTTTTAACAGGAAAACCAAGTTACAGTCACAAATGGCTGTTCGCTGTGTTTGAGTCTTAACAGGGCCCTAAAAATAGTTTGCTGTCTGACATGGGTTGGTGTAATATGGCTTTTCTGACTCTCTGTGCCCTCAGTGATATGTCTTGCTTCAGTTTCCTTAGTGGAGTTTCTGACCTTCTCTACGGCTTGTGTTCTTGCTGATTTTTTTAAAAACATTTTTATCATCCTGTTGCAGGGCATTTCTGATCTGCAATTGTTCTGTGGCCCAACACTTTTATAGCTTTTAAACCAAGAACTGCCTGTTATTCTTAAATTAACATACTCTAAATTGAATGATTGAATTGGGTATTTTTAAGCCAAAAGGTTCTCACCAAATTATCCTCGAGCTGGCTCCTTTCATAGAGTATATGTTAATAGAGAAAGTATCTTACTACTATTGTTATCAGACTTTGTTGCACAGAAATATTTGCAGATCAGCATTGCTGACTACTACAGAATTTTTCCACACTTTTTCATCAGATCCTCAGTTTGTGCTTTTGTATTTCTGCAGTAAAATTCTGTGCATCAAACAATTTACTTCCATTTGGTAGATGTGATGTACTCTAGCTACCCCGTTCTGTTTTTGAACAAGGAAAAAAACCCCGCAAACTGAGTGAATCTTTTTTCCATACACTCTCGTGTCCAAAAGATTGTCCTCAGGAAAAGGGAGTTTTCTGTACATGTTTTCCAAAGATACACAGTCCTTATAATTTAGCCGATCTCTTCAAACACACCTTTTGCATAATGATCTGAAGCTGAGTCTCTTGGGATATTCTAACATAATGATTTTCAGTAATTCCCTGAAAAATAAGTATATTTTCATTTGTGGCTTCATGGTCGCACTGTTTAAGGTCTGTAATCTGGTTGCCTGTGTTACCTCAACCAGTGAATTAACCCTTTCACTATGTTCCCGTGGAGCCGTTTGAAGGTTAGGTACGCCGCTCCACACAAATCGCATTCCACAGAATAGTCACCACCCCATCAGATGATTTCAAAATGGCCTCCAATATAGTAGCAGCCACATGCACACTTCCTCTTTAGACCCTGTAACTGCTGGTGATTACGTTCTGTTTACATGATTTGCATCTTCGTCAGGGTGTGCCCTCAGAGCAAGACACTCTCATAGAGCTTCACCCTCTCTTATTTTTAACTTTTCGACATTAGTGCGCGTTCATACTCCGTGGGGAACTTTCCAAACAAAGTAGAGACGGCAGCAATGCCTTGCTAAAACCGATAGCATTCCTTGTCAGACCGCTTAAGTTATGAAGATCAGATCCTAATGATGGAAAACCTTCACCAGTTTGCTTCAGTCTAACTCTGCTGCATGCGTTCATGAGTCCCATAAAGATTGCATGCTTTGTCTTTAATACAAATTGTATTTTATTTTCATACCCATCCTTGCTTTTTTATATTTCATTTTTTTGTTTCCCTGTTCTTGGTTGGATGCCTGTATATGTTTAATCCAATCCTTGTCCAGTCCTGGAGTTTGAACTACGGAAAGCAAGGGAGACCATTCAGGCCCTCCGAGCCAACCTGACTCAGGCTGCAGGTGGTGTACATAAACCTTTTCCTTAGTATTTGTATTTTGACAAAATAGCAGAGGCTGGAGCCTTACGAAATGGAGAATAATACCTTTTGTGTATTGCTGTTTACAGAAAATGAAGTTCCTTTGCAGGAACGGAGAAATTACAAATCAAGAAATTATTCTTGGGATGCTTTTGCTCTTAAGCTTTCTCCCCATTAGTAGATACACCATTGAGTCAGATCAGGAGTAGTTACTGTCTTCTGATCATAGCATACATTGTTCTCCGTTTTGCCGTGTTCCTGATATAGCTGCTCCAGTTTTTTTCTTATGCAATGTGTTAACGGCTCTCTTGTAACATCTTGCTAAGGAAAGAGAAAATCACACATCAGCTGTGTGAGAGAAGTGTAAAGTGCCTGAAAGGAGAAAAAAATGCAAAATTCAGCCATTTGTAGTAAAAAAAGAGAAAAGCACTCTCTAGTTCTACAGTCAGTTCAACATAAACTTTTAATCTGGGGTACAGATAGAGGAGCAAATCTCCTCTGTGACGTGTAGTGCTTTTCACTAACTGTGGCCCTGCCTTAAGATGGAGGATAAGATAGGAGGACAGTGATCCCTTTGCCGTGATTGCATTCAGCTGGGCTACGCAGGGAACTATCTTCTAATACAGTACAGAAGTTTCAGCCAGTTCAAAATATGGCAGGTAGGCTGCTACCGTGTTTTCCCGAAAATAAGACGCTATCTTATATTTATTTTTTCTCAAGAAGACACACTAGGGCTTA